AGCTCTGACAGGCTGTCACGGGGCCCGGCGGTGAGAATGCTCCCGCCGTGTCCGCCCGCACGGACTGAAAACTCCTCTCCTCTTGCAGACTAAAATCACGGCGTGGGGTTTGTGAAGATCCACGCGCCTGGAACGTGCTGTGCAGAGAGGCGGAGTTTCTGAAACTGAAGATGCCGACCAAGAAGGTTAGTGGGGACGTGTCTGCTCCGAGGCAGGTCTCCGGCCACAGGGCCCCGCAGACTCCGCCGGCAGATGCTGGCAGGAGGCTCCATCTGTGTTGCTGCAAAAGCCAGAGAGCTCTGTGCCTCTGGCGAGACCCAGCCCACACCCCGGAGGTGGCTCAGGCAGGGAGCCGTGGGCGTGCTGGGAAGTGAATGCAGTTGAACTTCCCGCGCAGGGGTTTCTCGCTCGCTCACCGTGTCTCAGCTAGTTCATCAGACTCATTTTAGTTGCATTTCCTGGCTGGCTGGGATTTTGCTTTCTAATCTCCGAAAACGGTGCAGCTCAGACCCCGTCGGAGGGTGGTACGCTCCTGAAGCTCAGCTGGGCATCAAGGTTCCCCCAGAGAGGACAGCGAGGGCCGGTGGTGCGGGGAGTAAGTCATCCAGGTGTCTCAAACTCACCCCTTTTGAAACTAAAGTTCGGGGAAGTTTCTGGAATGGATTGTAACTGCTCTCTCGGCCGGTCTTGCCTGAAACCGCGGGCTTCCCAGATTTATCTGGAACCCAGACGAGGAGAGGGGCACCCTGGCGGGTCCCAGCGTGCGTTCCCAGGAGGGGCCGCCTCAGGGGGTAGGAATAGAGCCCTGGGCTCCGGGCTCAGCAGATGACGGTGCCCCGCCCCGTCTCGCCGCAGATGTATCACATCAACGAGACGCGGGGCCTCCTGAAAAAGATCAACTCGGTGCTCCAGAAGATCACGGACCCCATCCAGCCGCGGGTGGCGGAGCACAGAGCCCAGACCATGAAGAGACTCTCCTACCCCTTCTCCAGGGAGAAGCAGCACCTGTGAGTGGGCCCAGCCCCTCCCCGGGCACCCTGCTGGGTGGGCACCTCCCTGTCATCGTCCATAACGTGAGAAATGCAGGTTGTGGGACAAACTCCCCCAAAGGAGTGGGGGTGGCAGCCTCTGGTGCCTCTTCTCATGGCGCTCGGAGTTCTTGGGGCCCTAAAAACGCTCCCTAAGGTCACTGTTAACTGAGGAACTAAGGGGGCAAAGAGCTTGCCATTCTGACAGGGACACTGCGAGGGCACAGTGAGGGCAGGTGTGGGCCTCGGATCACAGCCCCAAAGCAGTGTCTGGGCCCCCTCCCTCCCTCCTGCCCGGCTCCATCCCTCTTGTCCCTCTTAGGATGAGTCCCAGGAGAGGGGCTGCTGAGCGGCCTCCTGCAGGCTGCGGAGCTGGGAGGCAGGAACTGAAAAGCGGCCCCAGCTGGAGTCCTGAGGCCCCAGGGACTCAGCAGCCAGTGGGGTTGCCTGGCAGTGCAGTATCTGTTCCGGAGCCTTCCCGCCTCCCTGACCACTCGAGGCAGTGGGGCGTAGCCACCTGGGGCGGTGGTGGCTGCAAGGCCTCCTTGGGCCCTCACTGGGCAGAGCTGGAGTGCGGGCAGTGGTGGGAATAAGTAGCTTGGGCTCTGAGAACGCAGTGGGACTTTGATGGCGAACGGGGAGGGGGGGTGGGGATCCCAGACACCCCTGCTCTCACGGGCATGGAGACCTGTGCCTCGCTCAGAACTGGGGCTTCTGCCTGGCAAGTGCAAATGCGTTCGTCACAGCGCAGAGGTCCCGGGCCCCAGTCCGCCCATTTCCCCAGGACAAGGGATAAGAAATAAGTGGCTCGGCCCAGCTTCTTCCACCAGCTCCCAGACAGAGCTCCGGGGCCTTAGAGGCAGGCCAGGACCCCAGGCCCGGCCTCCCCCGCTCTGCCCTGGCCGACTCCCTCGCACCCTGCCAGCCCAGGCTCACCGCCAGGCTCCCCCCAGCCGCCCTCCCAGCCCTACCTTGCAGAGTGGGTCACCTACCCCACCGATGTCCCTGTGCACTCCGAAGAGTTAGGCCACCTCAAGGTGGCCCAAGACCTCAGAACCAAACCCATTTGAGAGTTAGAGGGAGATTATCTAATGCAGAAAGCACGCTGGTGGAATGATACCATCCCCGCCCCCAGCAGTGTTGAGGCAGAGACCACAACTGCCCACCAAGACCGTCCTCAAAAGGGTGTATAATTGGACAGCCAAGGCAATTAAGCAGAGACAGGGTTGAATCATATATGAGCATTTATTCCAATAATTTTGGCAGCGTGGGAGAATAATTCCGGCAGCATGGGAGAGCAGCAGGTCATCCACAAACATCTGTACTCCCTCTCCCCATAAGCCAACTGCTTATATAGGGTAGAAGGGCAAAGATTACGTTGGAAAGTAGGAATTACAGGCACGGGGAAGTTGGCAAGGTATAATCGTTACAGGCAATAGGGGGTGGGGGTTGCAAAGGATGGGTGCCTCTGGGAGTAGATTATTTTGACCTCGAGGCTGTAAATCTTTCCATGCTATTAGGCAGTTCTTTGGAGGGGAGGACGGACTGCATTCTGATGGTAGCTCCCATGTCCCAGGGCGTGCACCCCCCAACCAGGTTAGAAGGTGCTTTCTCTAATCAGAACAGAACCATCACGGTTAACAGAGCACGATGAATATTTCTTACTAGTGGCCTGGTGCACGAAATTAGTGCACATTAAAAGGGAATTAATTAGAGGAAATATTTTAATATTGCTATTTGCCCTTTCTCTATAATAGAAGTGTCAGAGATTAATTAGTAAAATGTAGATGAAAATCTCCCTCCTGTCAGAGTCTGGGGCGCGCCGCGGGACCTAGAGTCAAGTCCCCACCCACCACCCGCAGGCGCTTCAAAAACGCAGGAGACCCAGACCCGGCTGGCTCCACCCCCATTGGGTGAGACCCAGACCCGGTTGGCCCCGCCCCCGTCAAGCCCCTCCAGGCGGGGGGCACAGCCTCAGATCCCCAAGCCCGGTGCCAGGTGGGGGTTGCAGCCTCAGGTCCCTGCTGTTCCGTTGTGATGTTACGATGTCCCGGCTAATTTGCATATTCCTCTATTACATAGATAGGTAACTGTAGCTGGTCCCCAATATTCTATTTCTGCCCCTAACAGAAGCAGGGTCTTCCGAGGGGAGGTCTGAGCACACTTGCCTCTGGGGTCACTTCCCACCCCTGAGGGTCTCCCATCCTCTTGGAGAAAAGGTGGGGCAGGGGAGGGATAAACTGTTCCAAGTGCCCAGGATCTGGTCACACCTGGGCTGTGGACAGTTCTGCCAATTCCACAGCTGACGCTCATGGGGACAGCGTGGTTCTCAGACTCCGGCGAACTGTGTCTTATTATTTCAACAGATTTGACCTGTCTGACAAGGATTCCTTTTTCGATAGCAAAACCCGCAGCACAATAGTAAGTATCACGTGTGCACGTGGGGATCGCCAGCTCCCCAGCAAGGTGGCCCCAGGGAGAGGGAAGATAATTTCATTTCAGAGAAACTCCTCGGGGTGGAAGTGTCTCTAATTGTCTGTGACAGAAATAATTAGGGTAATAAAACCTAGAGAGCTTGGAGGGGCCCAGAGGATGGCCCAGCCCAGCAGGGCGGGGGTGGGGGTGGGGGGGAGGAGAGGGGGTGGCAGCAGGAAAGAGGGAGAGGGATTCCAGACCCTGGGGTGATTTCTGGGTGGTCTGGTCTTGCTGTTCCCAGCACAGCTCCCTGGGCCCTAAGAGGAATCTGCAGGTTCCTAACTGTGGGGCCCAGGCCCAGAGGTTGCCCAGGCAGCGGCCAGGCAGGAGTGATGGGCAGTGGCCCGCAGAGCCGGGTGGGTTGGGGTAGATATCTGAGGCTTTGCCAGATGAGCAAACCGAGGTTTGAAATCTGACCAGGCCACCCTGCCCTATTCAAGGTACAGTATTGGTTTAATGTTTATCCATTGGCTGCCAACTTGTCCGCCAGCCAAGCTGGGCCCTGCGTGGCTCAGGACCCAACTTTTATCTAAACAAGAAATTAACCTCGCAGCCCAGCCACAGCCAAGCCTCCGCTGCTGCCCTCTCCTCCCCGCCCCAAAGCCCAACCGGAGGGTGTGGGGGCGGGGGGGCGTGCAGGGCTGGACCTTGAGCAGATAACTACCAGGCCAGAGACAGTGCCGTCGGTCACGTGGACGTGGGGGGCTGCTGCCGAGGTCTGGACAGGGAGATCGGGGTCCTGTCCCCCCCACCAGTCCCTCCTGGCCTCGTGACTTTGGGAGTCACGGCGATCCTGGCTTCCTGCTCAAAGGGTAGCGGGGGCCTCCTCCGGGGGTCACCTGGACGCAGAGCCGGGAACAGAGGCTGTGATTTTTATTGTTAACCGTGTTACTGATTAGTTTTAGCAATTAAATCCCATAATTATAAACGAGGGGGGACTCCTTTACCCGGCATAGCTTGGGGCTGACCTGTGTCCAGAGGGAACCCCTCTCTCTGGGATGCCCACTGCTTGGGCGAACCCCCAGTTCTCACCTCAATGGTTCCCCTTTCCGACACCGGGATGGGACAGGAGAGAGTGGCCAGCGGTGTTCACTGAGCCACGTGCCCGTGTTCCATTATGTATGTGCTCCCCAACTTTTCACATTATCCCCGGAGCACAGGGCAGGTGCACATTTGTAAATTCACTCTTGCTATTATGGAAGGGAAGAATACGTGAATCTAAAGTTTTAGTTCTCATACATTGGGGATCAGTCCATGACCCCCAAGTCACAGAAAGCAATTTTGATAGGGCAGTAAGTATAAACTGAACCCTCCATCAGGCCATTTACCTGTGGGGCGGGGTCACTCTCTCCCAGAGACCCTGGAGGCCAGTTTGTAAACTGCCTGTGCTCTGGATTCAAAACGTTGGCGATTCAAAACGTTGCCCTTGGTTAGTCAGGCTCCATGGTCTTTGAGTCCCAACGGTATTTGGCATTGGTGTGAGGTCATTGTAGGCAGGTAGGAGTCGGGAACAGCAGGGAAAGAGCCCATGTGCTGGTCTTGGGATTTAGACCTTCAACCTTGGGCACTAGGGAGCCATAGAAGGTTGTGGAGCAAGGTTTAAGGTGAGGTCAGATCTGTCCTACAAAGATCACTGCCCATGGCCGGCTGAGGGAGAACAGATGGAAAGTGCAGGCAGATTCATGGTGGTGGTTGTGAATGCGGCTGTGACGGCAGGTGGGTGGGAGGAGGCAGTTCTGGGAGAATCAGCGTGGTCAGAAAGAGGCCACCGATCAGATTTGGGGAATGACGAGAGGGAGTCATCTGAGTAGGCCATCATTCATTCATTCATTCGGTGGGCAGTTATGGAGCACCTGGTGTGTACCCAACACTGGTGGGCGGAGAAGCAATAGGGCAGGTGGTGAAATGCACTCCAGGACAAGACAGAAGTTAGAAGGCAGAGCGGCGGGAATGGCAGGTGCGCTGTGATCTGTTTGTTTAGGTCCCTCTCATTTAGATCTCAGGACAAGCGCTTCTGGCAGAAGGAGCAGCCAGGTTGGAGGCCCTAGGCTATGGGAGAGGGTTTGGTGAGTCCGAGGAGCAGCCAGGAGGCTGGGGTTACTGGAACAGACAGGATGGGAAGAGAAGGTCAGACAGGTGGGCCTGGGGAGCCACGGGAAGGCTATTGGCCTTGCCCAAGTGAGTGGGATCGTGGAAGGTTGCGAGGGGGATGGGTGTGCTCTGCCCCGTATGTCTATGGTGCAAGGTCCCTTCTTTTCATCCATTTTGCAGATGGGGAAACTGAGGCACAGGGTGGTGAGGTAGGTGCCCAAGGTCACACAGCTACAAGTGGTAGAGCCTGGACTCAGACCCAGGCAGGCGGACTCCCCAGCTGGGGCTCCTGAGGCCACCAGGCAAAATGTTTTGTTAGCAAATGGGGCACGGAGTGGCGTGTGATGGGAGTCTTTTGGGGGGGTGGGCGTGGGGGAGTTCTGCCAAGTACACTGAGCTCTGCTGCCTCCTGACAGCAGAATGGAATCCTGATATCTGCCCACTAGGGGTTTCTGGAACTTTCCTGGCTACACCGGGAGTTGCCCTATTAGCCGGGTGCTTACGTCTCTGAATCGTAACTCACCTCATAGCCAGGGGGACAGTAACCCATGACACAGGGCCCACGGGACAACCCCTAACCCTGAGACTAGCACAACACGGAGTCGGCGCTTCGAGGAGGAAAGTAAAAGATGGGACCCTTTCAAAACGCACTGACTTATCCCTGAGAACGTCAAAACCCCAACACTGTTGACCGAGCATCCGCAGAAAAGTCCCCGGAGAGGAGGTCATCACGGGCCGCGCTCGACCGCGTCCCTCCTCGGCGATCACACGGCGGCCTCTGCGTGCCGTTGCAGCCCGAGTAACTGTCCGCCCCCTTCTTGTCTCCTCACTAGGTCTATGAAATTCTGAAAAGAACAACGTGTACCAAAGCCAAGTACAGCATGGGTAAGGACATTTCTGGGGCTTGACATCAGCGCTGGTTTCCCAGTGGTAATCTCGCCTCGGCATCATCTCCGTGGGGGGCGGGCAGGCTTGGGAGTTGTTAGAGGGTTTTGATTTAAGCCCGTGTGACAGTCTCAGAAAGGAGAGCCGTTCCGGGACCGGAACCGAGGGGCAGTTTTACGGCTCGCACTTCTCGGCACCACAGTCTCCTCTTTGGCTTGAGGCATTTGCGAGGTGGTAAATCCTGGCTGCTGGATGCTGTAGGGTGACCAGGTGTCTTAACCCTCACAGTCCAGCAAGAAGTAGTTAGGGTTCCAGCCGGGGTGATGGCCCACAGCAGCCCCTCCAGGCCGGTGCAGCCCCATACCAGGCCTTGCCGGAAAGTGCTCCCCTCACCACACACCCTGATTCTGGAACCTGCCGCACAACACCCGAGCTGGGCTCCTCGGGGGCCAGTGTCCAGAGCTTTACCAATCAAAGCATGTGGACGGGCACCGCCCCGCCGCCGGTCCCTTGCCCACAGCTGCAGGCTGAGCTTGCTAATCTGGAACATTCAGAGCAAAGGAATGCCTTTTCTAGCCGATTCTCCTTCTTCCCGAGCTGTGGTAGGCCCTCCCGGGGGCGGTGCCCATGCTGCAGTTTATCACGCTGGACAAGCACCTGAGGTTGTGAGGCTGTGGCGAGGGCCGCAGGGTGGTCTTATAGGAGCTGGGGTCTGTGCACCCAGGAGTGAGAGTCCTTGCCGCCTGCTCCCACGGAAGGAAGGACGCCCTGGGAGGGGGTGGGAGAGTGGGAGGAGTAAAATGCTCCGCAGGTGATGGTCCTGGACAAGCCCAGGACTCGGGGTGAGGATGAACCCTACAGGGTTAGACAGGCTGTGTGTCCTCTGGCCAGTAGGACCGATGGCCGGTCACAGGGACACGCTTCCAGGCCTGAAATCTCTAAGCCCATGTCCTAAGTCAGAGGGAGTGGGGCCTCAGCCAGGGGTCAGGAAGAACCCAAGACAACTGTCCCCACAGGCCTGGCCACCGTCAATAGAGCGAGAGCCTCCAGTGGACAGTTTTTAGCAGGGAGGAGTAGAGCGGGGGGGGGGGGGGGAGGGGGGTGTAGACGGCAGTGCAGAGCGGGGGAGTTGAGTGGCAGGGAGGGCGTAATAAAGCGGGGGGTAATAGAGCAGGGGGTAATAGAACAGGGAGGAAGCGTGGATCTAGCACCCCAGTACGTCTGGAGCTCAGGCTGCCTGTGGGGCCCCTTCCCTAGGAAGCTGCTGATAGCCGGGGGCTGGGGCCTCCGGGTATAGGTGCTCCCTGGGGGTGGGCGCGCTGAGCGTTCCTGCTGTTTCTCTGGCAGGCCTGGTTCCCAGAGCCTGGTGTCAGAGCAGATCGATGTGGGGGGCACCTACTCTGCACCCCCATTTCACATAGGCGCCTTGTCTGAAAGCCCTACTGGCCTCCAGATTATTCATTCAGCACCTGAGGAGTCTGTCACCCGCCAGGCCCCTCCAGGTGCTCCCTGCCCCCAGGGGTCTGTGTTCTGGGGGAGGGAAATAGACAGTAAATCATCAGATGCTAAACTTGCCATTGCAGGGGGTGGGGAGGCCCGGGGGGGAGGGGAGATGAGAAGCAGTGGTCAGAGAAGGCCCAAACCTGAAGGAGGGCAGCTCCGTGGTAAGAGGGTCCTAGGAACAGCGAGGAGCCAGTGACCTGGACCACACCCCACACCCTTTTCTTTTCTTTGTTTATAATACATTTTTACTTATTTCAGAGAGGAAGGGAAAGGGAGAAATTGAAACATCAATGATGAGAGAGAATCATTCATCAGCTGCCTCCCGCACACCTACTACTGGGGATCGAGCCCACAAGCTGGGCATCAAGCCCACAACCTGGTCATGTGCCCTGACTGGGAATCGAACCGTGAACTCCCGGTTCATAGTTCGATGCTCAGCCACTGAGCCATGCTGGCTGGGCCCCGGGTCCATTTCTTCTTGCAGGCGAACTCACTTGTGTGTGATTTCAGCCATGTGCTCCCGCCTCTCTCTGGTCTGGATTGCCCAGCGCCCTCAGGTGCCCTGACCATTCCAGATCACTAATGGTGGACACAGTTTTTCGTTTGTTTTTGTTTTGTTTTTAATATATTTTTTCATTGATTTTTTACAGAGAGGAAGGGAGAGAGATAGTTAGAAACATCGATAAGAGAGAAACATCGATCAGCTGCCTCCTGCACACCTCCTACTGGGGATGTGCCTGCAACCCAGGTACATGCCCTTGACCGGAATCGAACCCGGGACCTTTCAGTCCGCAGGCCGACGATCTATCCACTGAGCCAAACCGGTTTCGGCAGTGGACACAGTTTTTAAGCAGATTTCCAGAAGCCCCCTTTCCGGCACTCTCACAGCAGTGGAAAGTGGGCCGGCCAGGCCAGTGCAAAACCTAACCCACATATTCCCTAGAACACCTCTTGGCCAGGCAGGTGGTTCTGTGACCAGCAAGGGGCTTCATGGAAACCCCTCAACAGCACTGAATCCCAAAAATGTGTGTGTGGACCAAGGCCAGAGTCCCAGGACCCGATCCCCACGCACAGCCAGCCTCTCTCACAGCACTGTCTTCCAGGGCGGGGCGCCCGGATCCACAGGAAGTGCCGGTGCGGCTCTTGGTACAGTGCACTCCGTGCAGGGCCTGGGGTCTGCGAATAAGGGCCTGACTCTCATCCCACTGCCCCAGCGGCACTGGGCCGCAGGGCGCGCTCTCCCCCAAACGCAGCTTCGATGCTTTCGGGCCCTTTTGCTAATGTAACTAATAGCCGGATGTGTAAACAGGGCAAGGAGAGGGAAGAAAGAAGGACTCTGCCCTTTTAAGTAAAAGGCGAAAGTGTGGTAAATACGGTAAGTGCCTCTGCCCTCCGTGCCGGGCCGCAGGCCTCCTCCTTGGCTTTTCCAATCAACCTAAAATCTAATTCCAAATTGTATGTGTGTTTCTGACACCATCAATTTTCCTTCCCATCCATATTTTTCTCGTGATTCAGCTTTTCTAACCACTCGAAATCATCCTTCCGATCTGCAGGCTTGCCCTCGAGCAGGCGGGGTCGTTGGTGAATTGCCGGTTTGGGGTTCCTCCTTCCTTCCAGACGTAACTTCCTCTCGGGGTTTCCTGGGTGTCTTCCTGATTCTGCCAATCGAGCATGTGTGTGTCATCGGGCCGAACCTGGGGAGGACGCCCCAGGAAGGTGGCTGGGCTCTGTGCAGCCAGGTGTGGTTCGCTCTGTGAAAAAACTCAGTGGTTGCGACAGTCCCGGGACAGCTCTGTCGGGACGCGGAGCAGCCGGGGACACGCCTGGTCCATAATCCTCTCTCTCTGCCTTTATTTTTAAGGCATCACCAGCCTGCTGGCCAATGGCGTCTACTCGGCTGCCTACCCTCTGCACGATGTAAGTGACCTTGACAACAGGGTTTATCTCTGCGTCATTTGCCTTCCAGAATCCCCACGGGCCCGCACACCCCCTGGAGCTCTAATTATCCTGCGGTCTCGGCTTCCTGCTTTGGCTCGCCCTGAAATGTCAGCTGGGCACAGGCCTTCCCTGTTCCCCCGAGTGGGGACCGAGGAGTTACAGGGCCATCTTTTCTTGAAGAGCAAATCCACCAGACACGGTGGTGGCGGAGCTTCTGCTCCAGCCTTATCTGAACCTCGGCCAGCTGTCCAGGACCTGTCTCCCCTGGCTGGTCCCCGCCCTGCCCAACCCCCGGGTTCTGGCAGAGTGGCCAGGGCTCTGCATGTTTCTATCTCTGCAGAGCGAGTGGCCGGCTTCCTGAGCTGAATCTCCAAATCCCACTGGGATCCCTCTGACAAATATAGCCCGTGGCCTCGGCCCGCGTTGTCTTGGCTCCGGGGTGGAGAGAGCGAGATGATTCCTCCTCATTGTCTCTATGGAAACGGTCTAGAGTTCAGAGGGGCACTGGGAATGGGCCGTGAGGCCTGAGCAGTGTGGGAATCCCGGACAGAGGATCTCGAACTTTCCAAATGTGCGTTACTGCCACGGCGAGGAGCCAAGAAGCCGGAGAGGACAGGCCTGGGGGGCCAGGGACTCAGACGCTGGCCCTGGACACTCCTCTTCGGCTACAGTGGAAATAGCCCCTTGTGGTCTCTGAGCCTCAGTGTCCCCACCTGCCAGTTGGGAAGAATGCCCGCCCTGTCCCGTTGCCAGGGCCAGTGGGGGTGTCAGAGGGAATGCAGAAACGAAAGGGGTTTCAGCAGCAGTGGACTGGACAAACGGAGGGTGTAGAGCAGTGATGGCGAACCTTTTGAGCTCGGCGTGTCAGCATTTTGAAAAACCCTAACTTAACTCTGGTGCCGTGTCATGTATAGAAATTTTTTGATCTTTGCAACCATAGTAAAACAAAGACTTATATTTTTGATATTTATTTTATATATTTAAATGCCATTTAACAAAGAAAAATCAACCAAAAAGAATGAGTTCGCGTGTCACCTCTGACACGCGTGTCATAGGTTCGCCATCACTGGCATAGAGCAGCAGCAGAGGGCCGACCCCTGAAACACTGACCTGCTACCCCTGCCCTCACCACTCACTGTAGGGATTTGAGGTCAACTGGCTTCCCCACCTTTTTAAAAAAATATATTTTTTATTGACTTTTTAGAAAGAGGAGGGAAGAGGGAGAGAGAGATAGAAACATCAATGAGAGAGAAACATTGATCGCATGCCTCCTGCACACAGCCCCTACTGGGGATGGAGCTGGCGACCCAGGCATGTGCCCTGACGGGGAATCAAACCGTGACCCCCTGGGCCAGCTTTCCCATCTTTGTGCCTTCGTGCATGCTGTTCCCTCTGCCTGTCATGCTTTTCCCGCCGCCTCTGCCTGGACAGCACCTCTCCCCTCCCAGGGCAGACGAAGCATCACATTGGCCCACACCTGCCTTGTTCCCCTTCCCCAGCTCCGTGATCTCTCCCTGCCTCCCCGGGGCCTCTGATGCTCCGGTCCCAGTAAGACACCGCTTTGGGCCGCCATTCACTGTGCATGTATCTCATGAAAACCCGATGCTGGCGCCTAGTGGTGCTCAGTCAATGTGGTGTTGACATGGGCTGGACCAAGTCAAGTTGCCTCGGTGAGCCATGTTGCTGGATGAAAGTTTCCAGGGCAGGGCTCAGAGCCCCGCAGATCCCACCATCGCTTCCGCCTCCTCCCACAGAGCCAGGGGTCCAGAGGGGCTTCGCTCACCCACCCACCATGCGCTCAGGCTCGGTGTTCAGTCCCACTGGCACCAGGAGTGCAGCCCTCTCCATCACCCACGTGGCCTTTGAGCTGAGGACTCCTGGCAAGGGTCAGGGACACAGAAGCGGAAATGTTTCAGATTCCCTCCCTGTTTTAAGTCAGACCTTTAAGTCTTGAAAGGGAAAGGGGAGAAATCAACTTTTCTGAGCACCTATTATGTGCAAAGAACTGTATTTAGTAGGAGCTTTACCTTATTTAATTCAGTGGAGACAAGGGGACTAGAGAGGTTTAGTAACTTGCCCAAGGTCACACAGCCTCTGGGGAGAGCTAGAGCCAGAAGCCAGCCCTCTGACCCGAGGCTATGCCTCCATCCCCTAGTGCAGTGGTCGGCCAACTCATTAGTCAACAGAGCCAAATATCAACAGAACAACGATTGAAATTTCTTTTGAGAGCCAAATTTTTTAAACTTAAGCTATATAGGTAGGTACATTGTTATTAACTTAATTAGGGTATTCCTAAGGCTTAGGAAGAGCCACACTCAAGGGGCCAAAGAGCCACATGTGGCTCGCGAGCCGCAGTTTGCCGACCACAGCCCTAGTGGAACCACCACCTCATTTTTCCCTAGGCACCAAATGCACCGCCCCCCCCCCAATCACTGCCACATTTGTCCAGCAATCGAGTCTGTCTGCAGTGTAAGCAAACTGTTCCCACTTTACGGATGGGGAAACTGAGGCTGGGGTTGCTGGGAAAGACAGCCAAGAGGAAGTGGAGCCCGGAGCCTAGATCCTCTGGTTCCACTTCCAGGGTTCTTTCCAGCCAGGTTATGGACTTGGGGTGTCTTGAGGGAATACGGAGTTTTATATCCGTGAATTTCCCATACAGTTGAAGGACACCCACCTCCTTCAGTACCAAAGCTGGTGTTCAGACATGGCTGTGAGCGGGGCCACGTGCACCCCATGCTCTTAAACAGAGAATACTGCCCACAGTGAAGGCGCAGTCTCCTTGGCCGGTGCAGGCTCTTCGCACATGCCGTGTAGTCCTAGCTCTTTTCAACCCTTTTCATCTCACACACACATAACCTAGTTACTAAAATTCTATGGCAATCTGGCAAAAAAAAACACACAAAAAACATATATATAGATACCATTTTGATTCATTCCCACGGGAGAGTTACTGTGTTGGCCGTTACCATTTTTTATTTGACAGTCTAAGGCAGTGGTTCTCAACCTTCCTAATGCCGAGACCCTTTAATACAGTTCCTCATGTTGTGGTGACCCCCAATTTCATTGTTACAAATTGAACATAATTAAAGCATAGTGATTAATCACAAAAACAATATGTAATTATATATGTGTTTTCCAATGGTCTTAGGCGACCCCTGTGAAAGGGTCGTTCGACCCCCAAAGGGTTGCAACCCACAGGTTGAGAACCACTGGTCTAAGAGAAAAGAGGTCAGTGCGCCTGACTAAATAGTCAGGTATTACATGTTTAAAAATTCTTATGGCGCACCGGGTGGAAATCGCGCCTGAGCTCTGAATTTTTCATCACCCATCTCACCACCACTAAGTGTGTTCGATGTCTCTGCTTGCTGCCCTCCATGCATGCCCGCAGCATTGCCACCCCCTTCCAGTGCCTGGCTCACTGTGTTCGTTTGTTCATTCATTCGTTCATTCATTCAGCAAGATCACCTGTCAGCAAGGTGTGGGGTGCCGATGCCAACCAGAGGACACCTGCCGAAATGGGGTGTGCTCTGAGCGAGACCCCCAGGGGGTCTCTGTAATCAGTGTGTCAGCCACAGAGAACAGATTTTGACATTTCAGCTGGCCACTCGGCTTCCTTCCTGGTTGGCATCTCCCCGCCTTGAGGTCACCGGCTACCTGACCTCTGGATAGATGCGGTACTGTGGGGCCCAGGTGGCTGACTCCACCATGAGAAGAAAGACAGGGCAGGGGAGAGTCCTTTAAGACTCTCAGAGCATCTCCCTTCCAGAACCAGGGTGGCGGGTTGCTTGCCAGGTGGCCCAGTCCTCCTCACCTGGAGGGGGCTGGTGGTGGAACGGGCAGTGGGCACGCCTCCAAGGGGCCTCAGAGCTTTATGTGTCGGGCAGTTCTCAGGACCAGCCTCACCAGGCCCTCACTGAGCCCCTCACTTGTGGCTCCTGCTTAGTCAAAGCTGGTGCATGGGACTCACTTTTGACTTTTAGACCCGCCTCTTCCATTGCACTTGGAGACGGGATCTGAGTCCCGGGTTGGATCAAATTCAGCCTTCTGTCCTCAGGAAAATCAATGCGCCTCAATGTTTCCATCTGTAAAATGGGAGATTTGGGCTCACTGATCTGTACGTGCCGTTACCATATCATTTATCGTCCCTCCTGGGACAATCAGGAGTGACAGGGGCCCCACCTGGACGGGGCACTGGGGCCGAGACACTGGGGCCATCCTGCAGAGTGGAAGGTGTGTTCACCCTGTCGATAGATTCTCCAGCCCCAGAAGGCACCTCCAGGGACCTGGCCACAGTCCTTTCTCGGACTTGGCCTCTGGGTCGGGTGGAGGGCAGGGCACGCGGGACACACCGAGTGATTTGTATCACGGAGGGAGGCTTGGTCCACCTCCTGCTCTGGGTGAAGTCTCGTCCTAGGGTGATCTTAACCGGGTCAGTGGGTGTTTGTGGAGTCTGTTTGGAAACGTTAGGAATGGCAATCACTCGAGAGTGCCCTTGGGTGGTAAGAACATCCCTTTTTTCCAACAGGGAGAGTACGAAGGTGAGGACGTGGAGTTCAATGACAGAAAAGTAAGTGGACGCGCGGGAGAGAAGGGTCTGGAGGGGCCCCTGGGCCTCGGGAGGGTCAGGGCGGGTTGCTCCATGGGCATCTGTGGTGACCGGGCTTCCGCTCCCACAGTTGAGGGAGAACGTCGGTGAACTCCATTTGGTTGGTTTCTCCTTCTGATGCTCAGAAACGCCAGTGGCAGGTTATCTGTGCTGCTCAGATGCTGCCCGGACCGGGCCGGGGTAAACCTGTGTCTTAACCGGGATACGCAACCTCCACCGTCCCTGCTGACATTCAGCCTATCCTGCCCTGCTCCGGGCAGATGAGTGTGGGAACCGCTGTGGCCGGCTGCATAGAGAGCCCCCAGCACCCTGGGGAAACTTGCTGGATGGTATTCAACCAGTGTTTCTCAAACTTACTTGACCTGGGACCCTTTCTCTTTTTTTATCTTTAATTTCTTTATTGGTTAAGGTATTACAAATGTGTCCTCATCCCCCCATTAACCCTCAACCCCTCCCCCCCACCACCACTCATGCTCTCATCCCCCTGTTGTCTGTGTCCATTGGTTTGGCTTATATGTATGCATACAAGTCCTTTGGTTGGTCTCTTCCCCTTACCCTCACCCTCACCTACTTTCCCTCTGGGGATTGATAGTCTGGTCGCTGTTTCTCTGTCTTTGGATCTGTCCCTGTTCATCAGTCTATGTTGTTCTCTATATTCCACAAATGAGTGAGATCATGTGGTATTTATCTTTCTCAGACTGGCTTATTTCACTTAGCCTAATGCTCTCCAGTTCCATCCATGCTGTTGCAAATGGCAAGAGTTCCTTCTTTTTTACCGCAGCGTAGTATTGCATTGTGTAGATGTACCACAGTTTTCTAATCCACCCATCTGCTGATGGGCACTTAGGCTGTTTCCAAATCTTAGCTATGATGGATTGTGCTGCTATGAACATACGGGTGCATAGATCCTTTCTGATTGGTGTTTCTGGCTTCTTGGGATATATTCCTAGAAGTGGGATCACTGGGTCAAATGAGAGTTCCATTTTTAGTTTTTTGAGGAAACTCCATACTGTTCTCCACAGTGGCTGCACCAGTCTGCATTCCCACCAGCAGTGCAGGAGGGTGGAACCCTTTCTAATGGACAAGTTGTTGAGCTAGCATTCGTGGGACGCACTGTGGAAACATGATTCCTCCCTTCCCCAGTGGGTGTTCCTGTTCCAGCCCCCAGGCTTTCCAGGAAGCTCTGTTCCTCCCCCCCCCTCCTCCCCCCACCCACTACGTGTACACATCTTCCCACAACAGCCACCTCTCCGCCCTCCACACTCTGGAAGGTTCTGCCCTGCCGTCCTGCACATGTGCCCACGCCCAGATACCAGCCTTGCTCCTGGCTCCGTGTCACCCCTCTCGGTTCCCCCCCACCCCTCGGGAGCAGCCCTCCCTGGGCCCTGTGTCTCTTTCCTCCCCTGTCCAGCCTCTCACCCCGAGAGCGGATCCCTCCAATGTAGAGAGCAGAGACGCTCCCCCACGAGCCTCAGAGTGGTGGCCTCGTCCCAGATGGCAGGGCCAGGAACCTCAGGCTCTGGAATGTTCCTCATTCCCGCCCCCTCCAGCCCCCCATACGTGTTTTTAAACCTCTGGTACTTGATCCAACTTGCCCGCCCCGGGACCCAGCTGAAGATGCTATCTGGGTTAGCACAAAATTACATATTTGGTTATTTTTAGTGGAACATCTGGCATTCGTCTGAGACCCCATGACTTGCGGAACTCCCCCAGCCCCTCCCCAGGCCCGGCCTGGCCAACTCGGCCTCGGAAGCCCCCTTCCTTCTCTCTCTGTGCCCCTTTGGCACCAGCAACCCCCTTCTGCCCAATCCCATCCTCCAGGCCCTAGGCCCCTCCACCCCAGTCCCCCGCCCTCCTCCCCACGCTCCAGCCACACTGGCTGCCTTGCCAGTCGGAAGGCTCCTTGGACGATGATCACACCAGTGCCAAGACTGTCTCCCCAGTTGCTTTGGCAGGAACTATATACTGAACACTGCTGTGTGCCAGGCCCAGCCAGCATGGCTCCGAGTTCACCCAGACCCACCTGTTCTCTGCCTGGAAAGCTGCCAGCCTCCATCTCCTTTTTAATGTTATGCCCCAGCAATGAACATGAGGCCTGGCCCGGGGGGCTAGTCAGGGAGTATTAGACGGGTGGGTGGGTGGGTGGGTGGGTGGATGGATGGACAACGGACAGATAAAAGTTAGGATGGATGGAATGGACTAAAGGAAAACAGAGAGGGAGGCCAGGAGGGAGGATGCCCAGTCAGGTGTTTGGGTCCTAACTCAGAACGCTAGAGAACCTCTCATTCTCCCATGATGAATCCCCCCTGAAGGGCCCGGTTCTGAATATTTTGCCTTTCCAATGACAAAGTCTGTGGCATCCTGTCAGTGGCAGGAGCCCGTGTGGCTGACCCCAGGGACAGGACGGAAAGGGGGACCCAGGCAAGCCAAGGCCGTCTTCCTGGCTGAGCTGCAGGAGCAGGGGCCCAGCAGGAGGCCGGCACGGCCACAACCGGGGGTGGGTGCGGCTCTCCCCTCTGCACCCAGTCGCCTCCTTCAGGTGTGGATTAAGGTGGCTCCATCCTGGGCTGGACTGAGAGCCACAGGGCCCAGCCCATGCTTCCTTCCTCCCTCCCTTCCTTTGTTCATTCATTCATTCAACCATCCATCCATCCATCTGGCAGTTACTGACTGGAAACCTGTTCTCTGCCCCAGGCCTTGTTGGAGGTATTGGGGACGACACAGACCAAACAAACCTGGTCTTCTTGGGGCCTGCGTTCAGGGGGGGACACGGGAAAGGGCAAGTCCATACACAGCCATTAAGAACTGCGCCAGTGCCCAGCGTGTGGGCCCAGCGGGAGGTCTGGGCAGGAGGAATGCTGGCAGGTTGAGCCGAGACCCGCTCTGAGGTCCGGGTGCTGGGAGCTCTAGGTCACTGTGACTGGAGCCGCCGGTTCCCCACCCAGGGCACCACCGGCACCTCCCACCCTGCTCATGAGGCTGGGGTGCACCCTGGGAGTTCTGCCAATGGTAACAGGGAAATCTTAAGTCAGATTTCTCTACCCTGACAGCTACAGGGTGATGGATGTTCTCTGCTTGGCAGGAAGAGAACTTTACCGAGGTAAAGTGGCTTATGTAGAAATCGGGGTGTGCCCCACTTGGCACAGCTGTGGGTGCATGGTGGCCGGCCTGCTGTGGGCCAGTCCCCCTGAGCAGGTTCGGGAACACGGTGACTGGTGTGACATGGCCATGACTTCAGAGGCTCTCCTGGCTTCACCCCTGTGCCACCCCTCCCCGGGCCAGTCTTCCTTCTCTCTCTCCCTCCCAGGATCTCTCCCTCCCTCTCCCTCTCTGTCCCTCCCCCTCTCCTTCCTCCCTCTCTCCCTCCCTCCTCCTTCCCAGCACCTCCCAGCCTGTCTATGATATAAATCAGCGACTTGATTTCAGCCAAGGGAGGAAGCCGCCCGGGACAGGGATGGCCATTTTGCTTCTCCGGAGGTGCTGTGCAGTCTCATCAGAGTTTGCTGGCGCAGACCTCCCTGTTCACAGAGTGCAGCTGTGGGTCGCTTTCCGCATGGCCAGGCGTGTGAGACAGGGAGCACGGCCCTCTGCCTTCCACGGAGCTCCCTCAGTGCGTGAGCCTGTCTGGGTTCATTCTGTGACCGGCAGGAAGGACAGCGCCCTTCAGTATAAAGGAGGCGATGGGGCCCAGGGGGGAGCCCCGGATGCCCACCAGGACTCGGAGGGGAGGGCCAGCTCACGCACTCAGCGCTCAGTGGTTAGGGTCTACGCAGGACCTCCCACCAGGCTCAGAGAGGTCTGCCCAGGATGGCCACTCCAGACTCAGCAGAGCCAACCAGCCCGCTCAGAGCACAGCGGGGGAGGCCCCGTGCAACCTGGCTCCCTGCCCGCCCGAAGCTGCAAAGCTCCCCTCACCCCGCCCCCCCTCCCCAGCAGCAGGCCTGGCCATTCATCTGTCAGAACTTGGAGTCCTGCTGAATACATCCTGTTTGTACCACTCGCAGGACTGAAGGTCTGAAGGCAGCTACCCCATAAAGATCAGAGCAGGCAAAACGCAGGATGCTGACAGCCAGGTTCACTGGGATTTATTACGACTGCGCTTTGCTTTCCTGCGTTCTTTCCTCCCTGCTTTTAGAGGTGCGTGTGGACCGCTGACGGAACCTCTCTCCCTCCCGGGCGTTCTCTCTCAGCTGCGGCAGGGGCCCGAGGAAGCGGAGAAACTGGCTGGGGGCCATGTCCAGGCAGCCCTGACTCCCTGGTCTGTGGAAGCTGGACCCACCCAGCAAGCTTCTTACACATTTTTCATTTTCAAAGACTTGAATATACGTTCAAGGAGAATGTGTTAGCTCGGGCTGCAGGCACAGAACCGTGTAGAAGGGCGGCTTAAACAGAAGACATTTATTCTCACAGTTCTGGAGGCTAGAAGCCCTGGACCCAGGTGCTGCCGGGGTGGGGTCCTGGAGGGCTCGATTTCTGGCTTGCAGACGGCCTTCTGGCCGCATCCTCTCAGGGCCTTTCCTCTCTGCGTGTGCGTGGAGAAGGGACGCTCCGCATCTCTTCCGCATCAGTCCTGTCACATCCAAACCCCACTTTTATGACCTCTTTTAACCTTAATTACTTCCCAAATACAGTCACATAGGACACAAACATTCAGTCCATAGCATAGAGCACTTGGAATGATAAGATGGGGCCACAGCAAAATCTGAGCATTGGAGACCCCCCAAATTTTTTAATTGAGCATAGGAGACCCCCAAAATATTTTAACTATTAAGAAAAGAAAGAAGGACACAAGCTGCAGCATCCAGAAGAGACCCCGGCGAGTCCTCACGGGCATCCCCATGCCGCCTCCTGCCCAGCAGAGACAGGTGGTGAGGCACGGAAGGCCCCAGGGCGGGCCCCCGCTCCCGTGCAGCCAGCCGTGTACCTTGGGCTTGGAGTTAAGGCTGGGAAAGCACGAATTACCCTTGTGCGTGGGATTTCCTTCTTCCAGCCAGCAGTCCTGACACGGCGGCGTCCCTGGGACACCCCGAGCGTGTTCACGCACAGCTTCCGATCTGTCCCTCTCATTACCGTTCCTGCCCACAGCCCGGGGGTAACGGTGTGTGCAGGCTTCATTTATTTCACTAAGTGTCTTAATCAGACAGCCCGTCTCAGGAGACAAACGTCGAGCTCTGTGCATCCCAGGAGATTTTTTTTTAAATCTTGCCACTTTTATTTCTTTGCTCCAAAGCCTAGTGGAATCTGTCCTTTATCACGATGGTTCCGTGTATGACGGGAGCGACCGGGAAACCTAAATGGAAAAGCCTTACAGTGTCAGGTGGCTTTAGATCAAGTCTTGAAGGGAGAGGATTCCACGAAGATGCCCAAAGCCTCTTTCCCATCCCCACCTTCACCTGAAAACGTAGGCTCATTCCTGCTCAGGGAGCCCCAACCCCATCGCTGGCCTTCAGCGCCAGCTCAGCGACCCCCGAGGGTGGGTTCTTTGGGACCCTTCCCAGAGCTGAAGGCCGTGACCCAGTGTTTCCATGTCCATCTCCCCCACCAGGACAGGGGCCCCGGGCTCAGGGCTGTGTCTGCCCAGCTCCCCTCTGAAAGCCCAGTGCCCAGCATGGGGCCTGGCCCTTGTCCGACTCTCGCCAGTGTTTGTTGAATGAATGAAGGATGTAGCTCTGAGCAGAGAACATCAGCCCTGTGTTCTGGGAAGGGAACTGGGAGCATCCCACTCTCACCAGCCCCTCGCCGCTTTCTCTTTCCCAGCTCCTGTACGAAGAGTGGGCCAGCTACGGCGTCTTCTATAAGTACCAGCCCATCGACCTGGTCAGGTAAGCGAGAGCAGCCCGGCTCCCCAGGCAGCGGCTGTGGGAGGCAAATCCCCAGTTGGATGCCAGTGGGATAAATGTCCCCACGTGTGCCAGCTGCCCTGACTGTTTAGTGCCTGGGAACCTGTTTGAACTTGACCCGAGGCCTCCCGGCACGACCAGCAGCCTTAGTTCACTGGAGGATGGGCTCTTTCCTCATACTCGCTGTCTCCTCCTAATTTCGCAGCCCGGCCTGACGCTGCCGGGCGGCGGGCCAGGTCCTCGCGTTGCTGTGCTGAGAGGCAGAAAAGAATGTGTCCTCTCCCAGAGGACCTCTGTCCCGAGGGCAGGAAGGGGGTGGACCAGATTCAGCTGTGTGTGTCCTCTGGGGACATGGAGACAGAGCTCAGCCCATGAGCATTCGTCTAAACCCATCAGGGCATCCGAGACACTCAGCAGGAGGCGCAGGCCTCTCCTGGTGCCCCCAGGCCAGAGTGCCAGCTCTTAGCTGAGCCCGACTCGGAAGGAAGCTGGCAGCCTCGCGGGCCATGCATCGCGCCCACCAGCATGCGTATCACAAACACCTCCCCCGGGGCACAGAGAGAGGGGGCGGGCGTAGGGAAAGCAGAGAGCACCCCCAAACCTGGTAGCCTGGCTCAGAGCCCCGCCCACTCTCTACTTCCTGGCCCAGAGAACCAGGAGCCCCTTTGAGCTGTTCCCTGCAGGGGAGGGGACGGGACTTGTCTCCCAGCGGTGCAGAATGAGTGAGCTTGTCTCTCTGGCTTTGCCCGCGATGCAGGAAGTACTTTGGGGAGAAGATCGGCCTGTACTTCGCCTGGCTGGGCGTGTACACCCAGATGCTCATCCCCGCCTCCATTGTCGGGGTCATCGTTTTCCTCTATGGATGCGCCACCGTCAATGAAAACATCCCCAGGTAGGCGGGGCCTGTCCCAGGACACGCCCATCTCTGCGACCAGCTGCAGGCCTCCTTGGCCTCAGGCCCCGGAACCTTCCGCACCCACACTCAGCCCCGGACCGGCATGCTGGCTGTGTGCTGTCAGGGCGGGGGCCCGCTGCAAGGGGCGTAATTGCCATCTGAAGGCCGGGCATCCTTTTCGGGCACAAACGCCCTAGGAGCCGTTTTACTGTCGAGAGCAGACGGGAGACAAAGCTCCTTTTCTTCCTCTGAAGTTTTCTTTCCCCTTTTAGTTCTCAGTCCTCAGGTGACAGGAAATCCCCTGCCTCCTGTGAGGTTGGGACATGGGACAAATGCCATTCATGGGCCTCGGGCAGGGGACTCAGCCGGGTCTCTCTCCACTTCGACCCCGGGGCTCGGGAGGTGAGGCATGAACAGCAGACCAGGCCTCTGCACGCGAACCCACGCTCCTGCTGCCGTCTACCACGGTCAGGGCAGGCTGGACACTAGGGAGAAGGCCGAGACTCTAGGACAGCGGTTCTCAACCTGTGGGTAGCGACCCCTTTGGCGGTCGAACGACCCTTTCACAGGGGTCCCCTAAGACCATCCTGCATATCAGATATTTACATGACGATTCCTAACAGTAGCAACACTACAGTTATGAAGTAGCAAGGAAAATAATTTTATGGTTGGGTCACAACATGAGGAACTGTATTTAAAGGGCCAGAAGGTTGAGAACCACTGCTCTAGGGGCAGCCGGGCCTCGTGCTGGGCGGAGGAGGGAGGTGTCTCCCAGAGTGACAGCCAGAACGTAAGTCAAATCGCACGAGCTCAGAGGACCCTGTCTGCATGCACAGAGCTTGGGGGACCCTGTCCCGCATGCACAGAGCTTGGAGGACCCTGTCCCATGTGCACAGAGCTCAGGGGACCCTGTCCCGCATGCATAGATGTCTCCCCTCCTTTCTAGTTTTTCCTAGACGCTGTACCCAAACTTGAGTTTAGAAGGGCGGGTGAGGTGAGACGAAGAGAGACCGGGCTGAGTCCCCAAACTCAAGTTTAGAAGGGCGGGTGCCCCCTGGCCCTGCCTCCCAGCAGCTCCCAGTCTCTCTGGAAAAGCCCTAAGACATCAGCTCAGTTCCATTTCCTACGGCTCAGCCCCGAGTCTCGGAAGCCGAGCTGTGGTTTGGGAAGTGCGCCCACCATCCATTCAGAAAAGAGCCCGTGAGCCTTTGCCTGGCGAGGAGGTGGCTCGTAGGGCCCACAGCCCAGTGAACCTCGCATAAATGTTTAATATGTGAATGACACCTCAAACATGTGTCAGTGTTCTTACACATGAATAACACCTAAGATCCACCCACTCAGGACCTAACGGTTAAGGGAACCGGCTTATGTGGGGCACAGACGGGAGAAAGCTTACCCTTTGTTTGCCAATGTGACGTGAGGTCACTGTGCTTGGGTGTGGCTGTGGCGAAGATGAAAGTGGCCTAGGTGGGGCGGGGTTGGGATTCTAAAGCCCTGCGGGACCTGGCCAGTGGAAGCCGGGGCGCCCTCACGGTCCCCCTGGGAGGCTGCAGAGGACGTCACCTTCCCTCCCCCCTGCAGGGGATGCAGAGCCAGCTGAGGCGCTGCCCAGGCAGGCGTGCATTCCCCAGCAAGGGCGCAGCCATCTCCCAGGCCAGGCCAGCGCCTCCCCCTCCCACCACACAGCCAGAGGCAGACGGCGCTTACCGGGGATTCCTGAGTCCCGTCGGACCTCAGCCCGTGATGTGGGCGTGTTCCCCGGGGAGGGGGGTCTGATCTGCCCTTTCACCCCCTCCAAGGACAAGCCATCCCATTCCTTGTCTTTATTTTGGCTGAAAGTGGTGAAGGGAGTGGCGGAGGGTTTAAAACTGGCAGAAAACAGGCTTTTAGTCTGGCTGGCGTTAGCGCTGGCAGGGAGGAGGGCTGTGGCAGCCACAGGGCTCACAACAGGCAGAGATGCGGCCAGCCCTCCCTGGGATGTCTGCCCCCCTCACACATGGGTTCCTTCTGCCTCCCAGCAGAGGCCCCCAGAAGACAGGAAGCTCAGGGAGGGGCAAGGGATAGACCCCTCAAGGCGGCCCATGGGCCTCCTTTCAAAATCACTGCAGCTGCTTGGCGCCTGGTTATTCCCGTAACAGGAGTGTGGTGTGCGCGTGCCAGCTCTGTTCCAGGGCTCCACGCTCGCTCTGTGTGATCCTCCTGACAACCCAGCAACCTGGGCACTCTTCACTCTCAGCATCCCCACGCTGCAGATGGGGAAACTGAGGCGCAAGGAGTTGGAGTAACATGCCCGAGGGCACACAGATCCCAGTGGTGGGGTGAGATTCCAATCCAGCCCCGCCACCGGCATGCACCCACCCCTCACACACACGCACACGCACACGCACATGCACACAGACACGGGTACACGCATGCACAATTCCCCAGCTGCCTCGAGCCAGCAGCCTCGGTCACCAGGCATCTTCCCATCCCCCGGGCCCAACACAGAGCTGGGCACATACAGCACAGGCACATTCTCTAATAAGCATTTGGTGAGTAACTGAAAGGACAGAATGGGGCCGGAGTGCCCACTGTGCCGGGAAGAGAACCATTCAGCAGACGTTTACTAGACACCCACCGATGGCCGTGGGCCAGCTGTGATTCGGTGCATAAAGTCGTGCATTAGAAATTTAAAACAAAGAGCAGTACCCCCGCCCCCAGCTTTCCGTGGGAGTGACTCCTGCCTGGGTCACGGAGAGCTCCGCATCTTGTCCAAGTCAGTGGGGAGGAGGGCAAGGCAGGCCAGAGCTGGGCTCTCCCCTCATCTCCCAGAAGGTAAAGGGCCTGGCCAGGGGCACCGTGGCCGGGCCGGGCTGGGCAGTCCTTGTGGGCCGGCGGAGGGCTCTCAGCGGCTCCCTCTCTTCCAGCATGGAGATGTGTGACCAGAGCCACAACATCACCATGTGCCCGCTGTGCGACAAGACCTGCAGCTACTGGAAGATGAGCTCTGCCTGCGCCACCGCCCGGGCCAGCCACCTCTTCGACAACCCGGCCACCGTCTTCTTCTCCGTCTTCATGGCTCTCTGGGGTGAGCAGAGCGCCGCGCCCCCACCCCCACCCCCAGGCCACTGGGGCACAGGTGACATGGGGTAGGTCCCTAATTTCCTTCTTGGGACCGCCCGCAGGCAGCACATGCCGGGGATCATGAACACGGAGGGAGGTCGTGGAAACCGCTTTACCTGCAGTTCCCAGGGTCTCCGCTGCAGCTCAGTTATTCTGAGTTATTCTGACCCAGCCCGGAAACCCCTGGGGAAAAAGCCCCAGGAGGGTGCGTTGCCCTTAGAAACAGGACCTCCCTCCTGGGACCAGGGTCTGTTGGCCCAGGGAGGCAGCTGCTTTAGCGCAGGAGGCCTGGGCTCTGCATTTCCTCCGGCCGGAGCCAGCCCTGGGGCACATGTCTTCCTTTAGACCCTTGCAGGTCCCTGTAGGTGCCGCGTGCCTCTTTTCACAGGTAAGGAAGCCATGGCCAACTGAAATGCCAGGCCTAGGAACTTGAGCCCCCATCTCCCTGAGCTCTGGCCCCTTCAACTTCTTCCCACCCATCCCCCGCCTCTCTGAATCCTGTTGTCCATGGAGAACCATC